AATCCAAGCAGTAGTCTTCACCTCCCCTTCTCACCTCCTCTCTCCTCCATCACCCTCCCTTTGCTCCTTTTTTTGCCTCCACTCTCAGCTCCTTTTCTTTTATTCATTCATCTGGTCCTTTCTTCGTTCTTGTACCGCTCAGTTTTGTTTCTTTTCCCGCCTTCCTCTCGTCCCTCACTTCCAGGAGCGGTCTCCGGTCTGTCTCGGGGCTCTTCTACACTCGCTGCTACATTTGTTCTCCCACGCTGAATTAGCCGTTTGTTGATGACCTTGGAGGCAAGTGCAGAAAAGGTGGTTTGGGAGTAACCTGGGAGATGGCTGGAAAACCTAAAACGAGAGAGACGTAGTGTAAATGCAGTGTGTACTGTGCATGCGCTCCATTTTGAAAACTCCTTTTGTGTGCATCATAAATTATAAATCAGCCTTTCGCTGCTCCACCCTGCTGACCTCCCTTTTCCCTCTGATGCCTCCACACCTCCCTGTTTCCACAACTTCTGTCACTCACGCCTCTCTTACGGCCCCCTCCTCAACTTGCCACCCCTCATTTCTTTCTCCCTCGGTTTCCCACACTCCCTCTCTATCTCTCACCTGTCAGTCAGGGGGAATCGATAGCTCCGAGACCCTCTTAGCACTTCTCAGTAGGCTGCAATGGATGATTCTTGCGCTCACAAATGCACTCGGCACGCACACAGACACAGTCGTGCAACACATTTACACATGCTGGCGCACGCATCCAAGTAGCCATGCAGTGATACTCTCTGCAAGCACGCACAGCCTCTGCATCTCTCCGTTTACTTGCTCTGTCTTTGAATCTCACGCACAGACACACACTGAGCCTAATAAAACAACTGGTCTATTGATCAGTGGCACGAATGTCAGACGGTTCAAAAGTCCACCCGCCTCCACTCTCTGGCCTGTCAATCCAACCGGCACCTTTTAAGAAAGCAATCTCATTATCGTGCTTTAAATCTTTGCACTCTGTCAGTGTCTCTCGGCGAGTGTGTTCCCTTCAGTGTGCATCTATATGTTAGTGCCGCAGCTACATGTATGTTACAAGCCCACTGGATTTTTTTTTTTTTACATTTAATTTTTATTATCTGCAGTTCATTTCTTATCGTTCCAGTTTATCTCCCTCTTCTCCTCCTGTGTGCACTTTGCTACTTCCAAAGCACAGTAGAGCTATTTTTCTGTTTTTTGAGTCGTCTCATTGTTCTTTCATCTTTCACCCCTGTTTTGCCCTCTGTGAGATAAAAAGATGTATTTACTAACCTCGTTTTCCGGATCATTCCACCACCATGACTCCTGAAGCCGTCACATTTCTCCGTCTCCGCGGCTTTCGCTCTCTCAGCTCCGTGGAAAAACACCCATCTCTCTCTCTCTCTCTCTCTCTCTCTCTCGTTGGTATCTCTGTCTCTTCGTCTGCCTCTCTCTCTCCCGTTGGTCGTCCCCTCACTCGGTCGACAGCTGCAGCGCTCTGTCTGCCTCCTCTGTCGCTCTTCCGTCAGGGCTGTAGGCTGATTGAATTTTAAGTCATGTTAATCCCACAGAACAGGTACTGAATGAAGGAGGGGACAAAGAAGGGAGAGAGAAAATAACAGAATGCAGAGAGTAAGCTGGCTTGTATTTTTAGAAATCTCCTCTCTCCTCAGGAAGGGATCTTTCTTTTACTTGTCCTGCTTCCACAGAGTCACTTGACTCTTGATTTTGTCTGCATCTCATCTTCTTTTCTTTTGTCCTTATCTGGGGAAGAAGTGTGCGATTCTCATTGAGCAGCAAAGGAAAGCGCCGTGATCGGTCTCCGGCAGCGTCAAGCATCAGACTGAGAGAGTGTGTGCACAAGAGAGAGGCATGTAGATGAGGAGCAGGACAAATACAGGGCTGAGGTGTAGAGGGGTGGGGGGAGAGGAAGGAGGAAAAGAGACGGAAGATGTGCTATAGGAGGAGGAAGAGCCAAGATGAGGAGATGGAGAATGTGGGAGACTAACAATGAGGAAGAAGAGTGATGACAGCGACCTACACTGGCTCAATGTAGTTAATTTAAAATAAGTAAAAAGATGCACTTTCAGAAAAATGTGTGCTCAGATGTAGATGTGGCACCGTGTTGTTTTTAGTCCATTGGTGGGATTTGTTATTCTATATATAGGGAATGCACAGAATAAGGATTTGGCACGCATTACCCCCTCCCACCAGTTAGGTGTCTGTACTGGACCCCGTCTTTGTTATAAACCCAAAGGTCATAGAGCAAATTGAGATACTTTAATATTAGTCTTCTGTTTCATTACATTTCACAGAGTTGGAGTTTACTGGCCCCATTTTTCCTTTATAGCTGCCCAGTTCGTCACAGCTTAGATTTTTAAAAAAGTGCTGGAAACGTCCCTCAGAGATTTTACGTCTATATTAACATGATGACATCACACAGTAGCTGCAGATTTGTCAGCTGCACATCCATGTTGGGAATCTCCAGCTCCAGTTTTAAATGACTTGAGTTTGTGACCGAGTCTTTTCCTACTGGGAGCGACGTCAGAAGATAGGTGCACTGATCATAAGGGATGGACATGATCAGCAAAGATACTCAGGTGGGCTGTAGTGTTTAAACAATGCTCAGTTACAGCAGCAGCCTGAACCGCTGATACAAAGCAGGATGGATCCATGCTTTTCTTTCTGTTTATGTCCAAGTGTGACCCGACCATCCAAATATCACAGCTGATTGAGGCTCATGAACATTTTTACGCTCTTTTGTTGTCCAATTTTGTGGAGTCCATGTAAATAATAGCCTCAATTTCCTGTTCTCACCTTAAGAGTGTCGCCCATTGTCGTTTTTTTGCTGCTGCTTTAGCCGATCTGCTTCAACCTTCCACATGTTGTGTTCAGAGACGCTTTTCTGCATTTGTTATGCTTGTTTACAGCCTTGGTTATAATGAGCTGATACTTAAGTTACTGTTGCCTTCCCATCAGCTGAGATAGTCTGGCCATTCTCCTCTGACCTCTGGAATCAACAAGGCATTTTTGCCCAGAGAACTGCTGCTCACTGGATATTTTCTCTTTTTCCGACCATCCTCTGTAAATCCTAGAGATCGTTGTGTGGGGAAAATCCCAGTAATTCAGCAGTTTCTGAAATCCTCAGACCAACCTGTCTGGCACCAGCACTATAGCACACTGATAGCCACTTAAATCACATTTCTTCCTTATTCTGACGCTCGGGTTGAACTTTATCAGGTCTTCATGTTCACATTTTCTAAATGCATTCAGCTGCTATCATGGGATTAGATATTTCACATACCTTTAGATATTTCCATTAAAGAGAATTTGAAACAGCGAGTGAATGTACACAGACAGACTGAGACGTATCTCTCTCGCTCGCTCGCGCGCGATATATCTGTCATAGATATATATAGATAGAGCTCTATTTATCTATAGATATCTCTATATACAGAGAGATGGATATCAAGATATTGCTATATCTAATGCATGTTATCTACTCTCACATTTACATTTCTACATGCAAGCATAGAAAACCTTTTTCTCTATTTCTCACTTCAGCATGCTGGGAAGAATAAGGAGAAGTTCTCCCAGGTTTCTCTTTTCCACAGTGTGCACAGTTGTTCATTTTGGCCTTCCAGGTATGAAGCTCTTACTGAGTTCCAGGACTTTTCTTTTTTTTTTTAATATAATTTTTTTTTTACTTTGCAAAATTAAGAAAAAAAGGAGCCTAGGGGTTAAACTAACTACATGCAGGTGTGTTTGCAAAGTGTTTCTTGCTGAGAAAGGAAATACAAGGAGTGAATTGCACAAATGGGGACAATAATGCACATTTTCAGATGGTCTCCATGCAAATGGAAGCATAATTAGCACTTAATTGTATACATAAAAGTGACATAAGTAGTTGTGTGACAAAATAAGAGACCTTAGGAGAGAAGCTAAGGTTCCGCATGCTGCGTCTCTTTGGTTTGCTGTAGATTGAAGCATACAATGAGGCCCGATCACCTTCTGTTAAAAAACAGGCCTGAAAGATTGTGGTGCAGACGTGCAGTCATATATAGAGAAGTACTGATAAAACATATTTCGGATATAATATTTCGTAGTTGTAGGGGTATTTTTACACAAAATCTGATGGAGGGTTGGGTGGACAGAAGGAAGGAGAGATGGAGGAGGGGGAGGAAAAAAAAGACGGCTGGTGTGACAAGGGGAAGCGAAGTTTTTACCGCCTCGAGCATCAGTCGGATCAGGATGAGAGCGGGAGCAGACGATGATGATTAAGAGAGAGGACGGGGACGTAGGGAAGGGGCCAAAGATCTCTGAGGGCATAAGGCAGATAAGTGAGGAAGAGAGGGGTTACTGAGAGATAGAAGAGAGGGCTGGATGGAGTGATAGGAAGGCGATAGGAGCGAGTGCAGCTGATACTACTTCAAACGGTGGTCGAGGGCTTGATTTCCCTGCCGCGCTGATAGCTGCTGGGAACGGCCGTGAAATGGAAACCATCTTCAGGCGCGTGTATGTGTGTCTGTGTGCGTCCCATTACTAAGGCAGGACCTAAAACATCAGAGCTATTGGATGTTGGAATTAAGTCACTCCCAAATTTCACATAAGC